TTTTTTATTTCATCCAACAGCTTCACCTTTGAATGATCTTAAATTACAACATTACACCATATAAGGTAACAAGGGTGGATGTTTCAAATGAAGGAAGTATGGAAAAATTATCCTGTATGGGAAAATTAAATGCATCCAGAAATTGGTGCCAAGGAGTGAAGCTTGGTGGCTTAGCTTACATCCTGGATTTTAAGCATAAGCTATAAATACCCATATGCACACAAAAACATTCTGTCTGTTAACAACTGCAAGTAAAAACCTGGATTTAAAGGTTGTATGCACATTCACTAGCAGTGCTCTGTAACATAAGAAAGACATTAATCTAACATATTTAACCAAAACAATCACATATTTACCTGAAGTTTGGAAAATCTCATTCAGCAAAGCTTCATTTACCACCACAGAACTGACATTTCCAACAGGATGACACCAGCTCTGATAAATAGTTTGAAGCAGAAGGGTTTGCGCTCTAGTTGCTTGAATTGTCAAATTAGGAAGCTCAAATATGCATTCTGTGAGGGGAACATGAGCTCGCTTGGTCCTGTTTAAAATATTGAGAAAAAAAAAAGAAAAAAGAAAAATCATTAATTGGTACATACTACTAACAATTCAACAATTAAGACAATTTAACTTAAGTCAGAATATCAGACTACAAGCAGTTAGCCTCCAAATATAGGATTAGGTCTGTTAAAAATTTCGGATTTTCAAAAAGAGTAACCCCTCATAAGAGCTTATCATCCTACCTACAGTAAGATTTCCCCCATATAGGACTTTTGTTACATGCTTCCATTTCCTATCTTTTGAGAGAATGTAAGTAACTAATGTTTATCTTTATCTTTATCTTAGTAGCTCTTGGTTTTAAAATATTTAAAAAATTTCCAAATGCTCCCACCAAAGTAAAAGTCACTTATTTAATAATGTGAAGTCATTAAAATATAGAATAGCACACTTCAAAATTTGAATTTTCTGAAAATATTTAAAGGGTTACAGTGAATAACTAAACCAAATGCTATGTGTAAAGTGATTAAAACACCCATACGGCTGAATATAAACAAATGTCCATTTTTCTATTCCATAGTTAGTTAACATAGAGCTCATTAAGAGATTTTAATTAGCTGACAATATTTTTTCAATGCTGCAATACCCTATTATCTTCTGTCGAGAAAGAAGAGATTATTTTCCTCTTAGAAAAAAAATTCTTCTATGTGAATGTAGTCCAATACCAACAGCAAAATACTATGTCTGGTATAGTAATATCAGTAACTTACTTCTTCATAATACATACACAATTACATGAAATTAAGCATTCAACAAAACTGCAAAAGCTCTTCAGTGTTTTCAGTTTGCAGCCTTTTCTTTCCTGTGACATATTTTAAACATGATTTTCCTTGCCCTCATCACCTCCTGGTCATCTACGAGATGTTCTTTGCATGGTACTTAGCATTATTTCCTCCAGCGTCTCCAACATGCAATCACTGACCTAGTGACTTGCTCATCTACATATGATCATTATAGGACAGTCTTTTACACAGCCTGGGTGTTCTTAGTGCCCTTCACTCTATATTGGATTGATTATCATCACCTTATGTCCTTAAGTGTCTATAAGTACCCCAAGGGAGGCACTGAGGAGGATGGTGCTGGCCTCTTTTCACTGGTGGCCACCGACAGAACTAGAGGAAACAGCCAGAAACTGAAGCACCAAAAGTTCCACAGGAACTTAAGGAAACATTTCTTAACAGTGAGGGTGACAGAGCACTGGAACAGGCTGCCCAGAGAGGTTGTGGAGTCTCCTTCTCTGGAGATCTTCAAACCCGCTTGGACGCAGTCCTGTGCCACGTGCTCTAGATGACCCTGCGTGTGCAGGGGGTTGGACTAGATGATCTCTAGAGGTCCCTTCCAACCTTAAGGATTTTATGGTTCTATGATTCTTAAAGAGACTACTAGGATAAGAATGATACTACAGATGCACTTCCTTCATAGTTACTCACTCCTATTCACTGGCAATGAAAATAGTTTCAATATTCCTTATGCATCAACATTTGTCATCCAATCTTTCAGTCCTCCCAGATATTCTCAAAACATCATATGAATATACTTTTTAAATATTTAAAAGGCACATCATACAAATATTAACTTGCAACCTACGAGCATTCAGGAAAAATAATTAGATATTTGAGGTATGAAGGGAAGATAATTTTATTCCATATGAAAGCTGATCAAACATCAACCTTAAGACCCAGATGTCCACAGTTCTCCTATCTGAAAAGGCCATTTTTAGCAAAATATATGACTTCCTTTTGTTAACAGTGAAATACAGCAAGCAGACATTCAAAACGGCAGAACAAACTGGGGGTGGGACACAAAGATGGGAAAAGAATTTGGGGAAATTTCTTCAATAGGAGATTTTAAGAATGAACTTAAAGCTACACAAATATTAACAACATTGGCATTGGGAATCTCAGCTGAAGCTGTCCACACAATCCCCTAGTTCCGGAATAAAAGTATCCTTTGCCACAGATTCCGGGGGAGTTGAAAAGAGAAAGTGCAGACAACCAACGGCCTTTCTATAAACAAAAAATAAACCATCGCAGGAACTGTCACAAGCAGGCACAACACATCGTATCTCTTACCTGCCTCCACAAGAGCCCGTGTGGGCTAACACTGATAGATCTTATAGATCACATAAACCACACAGACTCTATTACACAGAACAGAGGCTCTGCAGGTGGCTCCGTGATTTCAGAAACAGCCCAGTGGAAAGATGGTTTCTGACATTCAGACAAACTCTGAAAACTGCTTTCTGCAGCTACCTATTTCTTCTTACTGCCTATAAAGGGAGATTACAAAAATTATTCCAGCCTGTGGGTGTCTATATCACAGAGTTGACAGAAAAAGTCCGTCCACAAAAGCCAGCTCCATTGCCCCAGACTAAAAATAAAAATAATTAAAATTGGTTCCTGTGAAAGAAGATCCTCATGGAAGAATCTTGGAAGATTAATGTAAAGACAGAAAGAAGAAAAAGAACAAGTAAGGCTGGACATTGTAGTCTTCTGAGATAGTAGTCAGCATTATACCGAGATTTTAGGAAACACAGCAGAACTACTTGCAAGCTGCAACTCAGTGAAGCTAAATGACACAAGGGTACCTCCAGCTTCAAATGCCACCTGCAGAGAAACATAGATGCAATAAAAACCTCCCGTGAGTAGACAGAACTCATCAGCCCTGCCCAGTAGCAGGAATATCCTTCAGATAGGAGAAAATATAGGTCAAATGATTGAATGAAATTTAGAATCACAATATTCTGGATCAGCACAGGTTCTGTTGGAATAAAAATTGTTAGAAGCCTTTTTGGCAGAGATCTTAAATAAAAGGATTATTTTTATGGCAGTCCCTGTTATGAAGCAGTCAGGTGGGATGAGACCAACGAAGTTCGCTCTGCTGGAAGGAGCTCAGCATGTCCTACCCATCTTTGGTGCTCATGGCCATATGAAGATGCTTTTTAGAGTGCACAAGGCAGATCCCAGACAGAGAGCCCTACCCCAGCCATGGCTGCACAGTATGTGAAACTGCAGCAGCTCTGGGGTAAGCAGCATAGAATCATAAAATGCTTAAGGTTGGAAGGGACCTCTAGAGATCATCTAGTCCAACCCCCTGCACACGCAGGGTCACCTAGAGCACGTGGCACAGGACTGCGTCCAAGCGGGATCTGGACAAAACTCCTGAAGCTCTTTCAGCCTCTCAGTTTGAGCCCCAGAAACACAGAGCACCCTCTCAGAAGGGCATCTTCTCCTAAATGGTATCAATTTGTTTAATACTATTTCAACGAAACCAATTTTTTGATTTTAAAGCCCAGGATTAAAAAGACAGTCCAACTCATTCGGGCTTATGCAGAACTGAAGTTGAAAGACTAGATACAAATACGAACAAGACTTTTGCTGATATTAAGTGAAAAGGAATGTACTGCACGGTGACATCAGTCAGATTGTCCCCGGCACCCCTTTCCTTAAGCCATTCAACCAGGATCTTTGACTGCTCATCTCAGTGCAGAAGTGCACTGTAGTTTTTTCCCTTAATGTCTTTAAACACATCGTATTTTCTAGTTTTTGTGTCATTTCTGAATATTATTGTACAGGATTAAATGTTTCATAAAAACAGGGCCAAAGATTTCAAAAGCTGAGTTTCCTGAAGTTCAGCACAGAGGGGAGAGAGATGGAGCAGAACTTCTGCAGTCACGTTCAGGTCCAACACTGTTAGACAATTTTTCCCCTAAAGTAACACTTTGTGCTAACAAGTTCATGGGCTGCAGAGAGCTCTGTGAAGACTTACGATAACAGCATACATGCTGATCGCGCGAAAAAAATGCTGTCAAAGTTTGACTCTTCATGAAATACATATAAGAACTACTGTACACAACTACGCTAAATATGAAATTTAAAAGTGTTGTGTAAAAATTCCCTTACGAGTAATAACAGCGTATGAAATATTTTTTTAAAGATGCTTTTAAAATTTTAAGCTTATTGTACTTTAAGCATCCCATAGGGATTAAGTGCACTGTTCCTTTTAAGATAACTTAGGGAGAAAGGGAAGTTGAAGAAAATAAATGCCGTTTTTATAGAAAAAAAAAAATCAAGGCCATAGAGGGAGGGGCAGGCATGTATTATACCATGTGTGCAGCAAATGTTGCTTAAAGGAAATTTTAACTAGACCTGGCTAGTGATGAAAGTGCAATTATAATTCAAAATTTATTATAATAGTTTTGGAATAAAAATAATGCATTTAAAAGGACTTTAAAATAGAAGTTTGCTACCAAACTGCACCTGTTACTACAGAAAATCCACCATTAATAAGGAACTGAGCTATATTTAACCAAGTTTTACAACCCAAGAGATACATTCAAGCAATAAGTGAAATACAAGTACAAATATTTTTTTCACTAAACCAAGTCAGATCTGTGTTTCAATACCATATCATTAAGTTTGTGTTAAGCAACTGAATGTGACTTCATATCAAAACTCATCACCACATTAGAACAGTTATGACGCCCAGTTGGAATCTAAAACCACTACTTAAACACCACACTTTAGAACTGTAACAATAACAGAAATAATTATTTCTCAAACCTTGACATTCAAGAGTTAAGATGCAGCTCTGAACTTATATGTTCATTTAACTGAACAGGTTAAAAAACTATCAATTCAACCACTCCTCTCTAGGGGAAAATAAATCCTAATGTAGCTAGTGGGATAGGCTAGTCATTAAAGTTCAACTTGGACGAATTCCAGAATAAATTTAAGGAAATATGAACAAGCAAGTCTTGCTGTGTAGTGGCATGGGGTGAAAATGAATCTGTCCTAATTAAATGATTTTTAAATACACTTTGGTTGTACCCAGTTTGCTGACAAACTGTAATACAGACTTGCTGAAATATTTGGATAAATCTGGCATACCATTAAAGAAAATAGTTTTCTTCACTGTTTTTGAATGAAAACATTGGTCCGTATTATCCACCCACATGTAGGCACCAATATAACCAATCCATGC